ACAGAAAGAGAGAAACTGTGCTTTCAGAAACCCAGAAAAGGAGTGACAGGACAGCTCGAAGTGCAGAGAAACAGAAGGATGAGCACAAAAAGAAGAAAGCCAAGCCAAGGTTCCTACAGTGGCAGTTCCCTTGTGGGTAATGGAGACAGAAGCTTATCCAAAAGATAAGCCAGAGGCCCTGGGAGAAAAATGACTGGCAATCCTACCTATTGGACAAGGCCATAACTTTCACCAGTCTCCAATTTAGCTGGGGGTTTAGCCGAGACTGACTTTTCCAACATGAAGGGTCAACAGTGGACAGGAGTTTCCTTGGGTCAGAGGGCTGTGCCCAGGAGCTGTCTGGAGAGGAAACCTGTTGTTTAAAACTGGAGGCCTACCAACAAAGAACAATAATAAGTCTGGTAGCCTGAATTCAACCTGTCATAGCTCTGAGGTTACAGACAGCCCTGGGAGGTTGAACGCATAGGCAGGCTTCTTTTGCTAGGGTAGTAGGGGCACGATTTCTGTAACTACCTATCTGCTATAGAGGCCAAGATTGCTAAGCTCCAGGAAGCTACCTGATACCCACAGCTGTACTCCTCTAGTGGGGCAATAACTGCTTGTTGGGTTTTCAAAGCATGAAACTAGGCCTCAGAGCTGTGGTTGCTTCCCCTGCTGAAAACTGGTCAGAGTACGAACTGAGGCATCTCAAGTGGGTGGGAGAGCTTGCCCAACCCCACAGTCTGAAAAGCTAAGTGTGGCCCACCTAGCAGAGGCCCAAAGAAGGGAATCTACTATAGTGAAGACAGCTCTGGCAGATACAGGACATTTGTCCAAGCAGGCTAAAGACCAACATAAATCACAAGAAAGACAACAGTCCTCAAGTTCAACTGACCATCTCTCTACTGCATATACCTGCTAGTCTCCAATTTTCAAGGACCCAATAGTAAACAGCTTCAACACCTGACCAGTTTTATTTCTTTTTCTGCCCCTTGTGTTCCTTTTTCTTTTTTTTTTTGGTCTTTTTGAGACAGGGTCTCCCTGTAGCCCCAGCTATCCTGGAACTCACTATGTAGACCAGGCTGGCCTTGAATTCATAGAGATCCGCCTGCCTCTGTGTCCTGAGTGCTGGGATTAAAGGCGTACACCACCACGCCTGGCTTCCCTTTTCTTTTTACCCTATCTTTGGTAGTATTTTTACTTTACTATTAAAAAAAACAAAAACAAAAACAAAAAAACAAAAAAACCTTTTAGGTTTTAGCTTTTTATTCCCTTTCACACATTTATCTGATTCTTTTCCCATTTCCCTCCCCCAGTTTCGTTTTTCTTTGTTCAACAATATTTGGACAGAATTTCAACTTTATTCATTTTAAAAGAGCTTTTACATTTTATTTTCCCTTTCATATATAACAAATGCTTTTCCCACTGAGTCTTCTCCCAGTCCCTGTTTTCTTCATTTACTCTAATCTTTTGCTCTTTTCTCTTCCCCTTGAAACATGCTTCTCCACCTCGTTTCTTCCTCCATTTATTTGCTTCTCTATTTCCCTTCTCCCTACTTCTTCCTTTACCTCATTCATTTACTATTTCTACATTTAACCTAAATAGTTTTTAACTTCATAGCCAATTCTACATTAGTTTTGGCACTGTCTGTTTTATGGCAATTGATGATATCCTAATGGGCCTTACTTTATTTCAGGTTTATTTCTGTATCTGGCATGGATAGTGTTATGGCTGTTATCATAGTTTGATTTCTCTTCTTTGAGGAGGATGGAGCTTGAGCTCTCAGGCACATGCTGCTCACTAAAGATCAACAAATAAAACTGAAAGAGAATGAAATCAACAGACAACACAAACTATATCACAGAGGCACAGAACATGAAAAAGCAAGGCAACATCACAGCTCCTCAATCACTCCACCAGATACGGAAATAGGTACAGCATCAGATGAATGTCTCAAAGGTTTACCAGCAAAAGTCCTCAGAAAGGAATTAGTTATGTAGATGAAAGAAGGACATCTATCCTGGACTGGGAGGAGAGTATCAGAGATAGAAGACAAGCTGAGGAAGCACTCCATTTGAACAGCAATAAAGAAATCAACAAGCATGATGGAAATGACCAGAACTCCAGAGTATGATTAAGGGACCTAACCTAAGAATACATAAGGTAAAGGAGCCAAGATAAAAACAAAAGGCAGAGGATGTATTCAGTAAAATTACAGCAGAGGGCTGGAGAGATGGCTTAGTGGTTATGAGCATTGGTTGCTCTTGCAGAGGGCCCAGGTTCAGTTCTCAGCACCCACATGGCAGTGAACAATCATCCATAACTCCAGTTACAGGGGATCCAATGCTCTCTTCTGACCTCCATGGGTACTGCACAACATGGATGCACCTACATACATGCAGGCAATACACTCATACATATAAAATATTTTTTAAAAATTATAGCAGAAAACTTCCTAAATCTAAAGAAATGAACATCCAAATGCAAGAGACACTTACAACTCCAAGTTGATATGACCAGAAAAGAACCTTTCTATGACGTACAATAGTCAAGGATGTCAAAAATATAAAGCAAAGAACAGTAAAAGCTATAAGGGAAAAACGCCAACTTCTCCAAAGTCAAACTCATCAGAATAGTATCAGATCTTCCACCAGTAGCCCCCGAAGTGAGAAAGGCATGAACAAATACTGAAATACTGAAAGTAAGTAACTGCCAACCAAGACTGCTATATTCAGCAGAACTGTCTTTGAAAACTGACAGAGAAATTGGGACATCTCGAGACAATCACATATCAAGGCAGTTCATACGTACTAAGCAAGCATCACAGATCTTTAAAGAGAATACACAGAGGAGGAAGAAAGGAAGTCTAAATCATGACAATATAGGAAAATAAATTCCATGAGAGGACCAGAAGAACAAAGGAGGGCTAGGAAGGATGCCATCATGTTCAACCTAGCAAGCCAGCAAACTCCTAATATTAATAGGAAACAAAGGGAAGAAAAAATCCCATCAATCAGAAAAACCTAGAGTATAGGAATTAGCAAACTCTCTCAATAATAACCTTAACTGTTAATGGCCTCAACTCACCAATAAAAAAAACCCAGACCTGTTGATTGGATTGGAAAAAGTCCAACTATATACTGTCTCCAACAAACATACCTCATTGGAAGAGACACAGACCAAGAGTCAAAGGAAAGAAGTCAATTTATCAACCAATTGGAAGCTGGTGTAGCTATTTGGATACCTGATAGATTTCAAACCCAAA